ATGGAGCAGGACTGGGAGGGTGGGGGTGAGGCACAAATTGGAGACATATGTGACACAGAGGGAAGGAAGGCCGGAGCGGACATCTCTTAAGTGGACTGCCATTTTGGACCCAAATTTCTCAGTCAGAGACCCATCCCTTCTAAGAACTGGCCAACTTTGCTGTTTCTGCCTCCTTCAGTGGTGGGAACAGTCCATGGGCATGTGGCCTTGGAACGGAGGTTATGGTGGGCTTCAGTGGTGCAGCTAGAAGTCCCCCGGGTACCATCTTGTGCCTGCCACATTTTATCATGTAGATGGTAGCACTCCTGCATTGATTCTATCCTTTCCTTTTCCTGTTAATGTTGCTCTTTAAAAAAGGATACTGGGAAGTTGTCTCAGCTTTGTTTTACAATTATTTTTTGCACTCTGATAATTTAAATTTCCAAGTGTTTTTTACTTTCATTCTTGGACTCTTTTTTTCTAACTTTCTGTTCTTGTTTTATGCCTGTGATATCATATCATTTCTTTGTAGCAGTCCAGATTTTATAAATTTATTTTGCTCCCTGCTTTATCTCTGTTTCATCCTACTTTACCTCTGTTTACTTATATATGCTTGACTAGAGTTTTCTCTTTCCTGTCAGAGTCTTTCTTCACAAGTTTAATGACCCTTAGCAAACTCACTGGAAGCGTTGAGGGAGAGGCTGTGTTTGATCCTGCCGGGTGTCAGAACCAGGAGGTCTTTCCTCTCCTCACTGAGTTTTACTAAAGAGGACTTTGTCCTTCTCCTGTGTGGCAGTTCTCAGGCACCAGGGAGCTGAGTGGAGGACGAGGGCTGCAGTCTCCCATTTAGGGATTATTTCTTCACTCGACCTCCTGTACTCTCCAATCCGTGCTGTACCTCTCAACTTAGCTGTGTTGAAAGAGCCGAAATTCATATCCTTGCTGGCAAACCTCAGAGCCTTTGCTGAGGAACCAATTCCTGTAAAGACTTTCAGCCAGTTTTGCTGTCTTCGTGGTGTGTTTTCCACACTTCAGCTTTGCTCTCCTCTCTTTTGAGAGCTTGACCCTTGCTCTTTGCCCGCATCTCCCTCCCGGGCCACGAGTTCAATTCTTACAGTTTTTCTCTCTTCATTTGCTTTCCAGCTTCCTAAATTTTAAAGAAATATCTTGATTGTTGTTATTTCCTTTCATCCTTTTGGCTTTTTACCTTGGAGTTTTGCTCCCATCTTTGTTGAAAAGCAAAAATAAGTGTTGGTTTATTTTACTATTTTATTATATCCTACATTATTATACTGTACTATATAATTGTTTTTGGCTACGCAGTTGAAGCTGGGTTTGAAGTCACTATGTAGCCCAGGTTGGCCTTGAACTCACAGCAATCCTCCTGCCTCAGCCTCCTGAATGCTAGCATTATAGGTATGCTCCTCCATGCCCATGCCTGGTGCCTCACTGTATTATTCTCTTAAGATTATTTCATATCTCTTCCCTTACCCCTAAAAGGATGAACTCAATGGTTTGCATAGACTGTGTCTGATATCACAAAGTCAACAGTTTAATCTGCTTTTAACTAACTAGAGCAGAGATAGGACAATGACTCAAACCCTCATCCTGGCACTTTCTGTCTACCTTGTAGATTACTGCCTTTCCAAAGCAATGCTTGATGCCTGCTCATCAGCTGTAAGCCTGAATTTGCACCCCAGCTTGACGACATACTGAAGGTGCCAGAAGCAGGGTTTTTTTCCACTGCTCTGCTTGGGGACTGGTTAAAATCATGCATCTCCCAGAGGTCCTAAGATGCACACGGAAGCTGAGGAAGCTCATTCCCTGTTTCTCCCTTTCCTCTTCTCACCAGGAAGAACTTGCCATAGTAGCTTTTCTGGGACTGTTTGCTCTTGCCTGGGTCATTCAAATACAACTCCCACTCCTCCTACCCAGAATTTGGTCTTACTTTGCAAAGTCCTGCCTGCTTTCCCTGCCGTCTGTCCCTGTACCTGCTCCAGGGCTCTCGACCCTCAGAACCTGTCCTGTTCCGTCCTTTGTTGTATGAATAGGAATGCCCTGCTTTCCTTTACATTGATTGGACAAGCATCTCTGGAGGCCTCTGGCTTATCCAAATGGTTCTTCTTGGAATGTAAGTCAGAGATCGGACAATAATTTCAAAATGTTCCAAACTTTTTAAAGAAAAAAATCCACTCTTTTGAGTGCTTTGGAGGCTCTATGGTGATTCACGTAAGTGCTGTTACTACAGGCAATACCAGTGTGGCTCGACAACACTGGGGGACCAGGGCAGAGCAGGAGGTGGAGGAAGGCCTCCCTCCTCACTCTGCCACCAACTGCTGCATGGATGAGGGCCCAGGCTTTCTCTCTGACCACGAGGGTAGTAAAATAGCAAATGTGTTCTCTGTAAAGACAGAGCATTGGAAAACAGACCAACAAATGATTATGCTGGTTTTATGGGAGCTACAGTGTTCCATCGGGTCAAATGTCTTAATTTTCTCATTATCACCAGATTTTGTGAAACTGAAGAATGCATCAGCCCTGCCCTCCCTGTTGCTTAGCAGCAGCCTATTTCTCCTTCCCAGCAGATGCAAAGGAGTCCAGTTTTAAAGGTGGAGAAAAAGAGATGGGGGACAATGGTGAGCCCTACCTGGTTGGCATAGTAACAAGACATGTAAGAGGTACCTGCCTTGAAAATGAATGAGACAGTGATGATGACATTTACTTTCTTCATTCGGAGTTTATTCTGTACTGTCTCTGAGAGGTAATGTTTACCTGTGACAGAGGCATGTGTATGTGTTTGCACTGCCATAGTCGTCTGCTGGATAACTTGGAGGATCAAAAGACACCTGCAGCTCACACTGGTGGGGAGACAGAGCAACCTCTTCCTGGGGCTGCTGCTCTGGACTTTAGATCATGAAGTTCCTTTCCCAAGATATCTTGTGGGACCCCCAGTGTCTCTTCTGTCAAACTCTGACAGTTCCATCTCTTGTATGCCAGTGTGCCAGTCCACATTTCCTAAGGTGCAGACACCAAGATGGGATCAAAGTGCAAAGATCCTATAAGGGGAAATGCCCAGGTGACAGGAAACTGGGAGGAAGCCAGGAGAAAGGCCCTGGGTGAAAGAGAGAAGGCGGGTACATTGGAGGGAGTGTCTTAGACTACCATGAAGTCCATGGACGCCTCTATGTGGCCATGCAGGAGTCCTCCAGCAAAGGTCACCCTCAGAGGAGCCCACTTCTCCCCGAGCAGGCTCCTTGGCTTCCTGTGCACTCATTCAGTTCAGAGTGCAGCAGCCAGTGCTTTCCTTGTATTTGGAGATCTGCAAGGTGCGTAGCTATGGCTCCACAGCCAGACCCTGCAGTGGACTGCTTGGAGTGAGAGCAGGCTGAATCTGGGTTTGTGAGCAAACACAGGGTGGTCCTGGGGCACCTGGAAAGGTGAGTAGAGAGCCTCCCAGCAGTGGGTTGAGAAAGGAGGAATTTCTTGAGAAAGGAATGGCCCTGGAGATGAGGAAACATGGGTGGTGTCCCCAAGGAGACCTTGTAGGGAAATGGAAGTTCATACTTAGCATGAGCTTTGGATCTCTCCTCCTGCTGCTCTCCTCCCCATGTGGCCTTGCAAGATAAAGGTCTCTTGCAACCTGACTTCACCTGGGAAATGCTATCATAAACTGTTTTACTTATATCTCTGACTCATTCTGTTTGTGCTGCTACGACAATATATGAGGATGGGTTATTTATAAATAACAGACATTTATTTCTCACAATTCCAGGGGCTGAAGAATCCAAGATCAAGGCAATGCAGAACTGGTGTGTGGTTTTCTGGTGACTGTCTGGTCTCTCCCTCAGTGACGGAGCCTCTATGCCCTGCCTTGACATGGAAGAAAGCCACAGTGCAAGAGGGCGGTGAAGCCTGTCCTAACAGAAGACGGCAACGAACCTCCTCCACCCAGCCTTTTCATGAGCGTCCTAACCTCATCCGTGCCAGCTCTGCTCTCAGGACTTCTAAAAGCCTCACCTGTTAAACTATCACAAGACTGTAGCAACCTACTATATTCGTCTTACTGTTCCACAACACTCGGCTCTACTTGTAAGTGTTTGAAATTAGAATTCCCTTCTCCCGTGTAATTTTACATCAGTGTCTGTGATACCCTGTCTGTGAACACTGTAGCATCAGAGTCCCTGGCTTGTGGTCTCCGTGTTACTGCCTGCTTGCGTGTCTTTCCTGTTCTTCCCTCCTGAGTGAAGACCGGCATCTCATTTCACTATGTGTTTGGCCTGCCCACATTCACCTGCACACGGGGATGGCTTACTAAAAAGACTGTTTCTTGCCACTTCTGTAAGGCACCAGGCATGAAGTGTGGTGGTTCGTGGAAGACGGGATGACTTGGAGGAACGCAGGGAAGAGGACAATCAGAGATGAGAAGTCCTCAATAGGAACCTCAGGCAGAAGACTGTAGGGGTTGGAATACACTGAAGATTTCAATAGTGTTTACTCGGCAGCAGGCACATTACCAGCCTTCTTTCCAGGGCAAGCTTCTGAGGGCAGGCCAGCAGCAAGGTCACTTGGCTCTTTTAACACAGTTGGTGGAGCAAGGTTTTAACTCTGGTCTGTCTATGACACAACCTGTGTTAGAAAGCTCTACACTGTCTTATCACCAGAGCAACAAATGAAGGGCCAAGGGAAGGGTAGATCAGTTTGACCTCCTGGGGCTACTGAGTGAGTGACCAAGCAGGTGAAGCTTTGAAGGGGCTCCTTGAGGACCCCAGCTCCTCACCTTGAAGCACCTAGCCTCCTGTGTACACACACTTAATATCAAGCATTTGACTCGGGCACCATCACACAAATGTACTGGCCTTCTGGTTCCAAGCCATGGCTCTCCATAAACAATCTTTCTTAATTAACCTTGGCAGCCCAACACCTTTGGTGTATCTAGCCCATTTAACGACCACGCCTACTCTTGTTGGATCCGGTTATAAAGTAAACTATGTTCTTTGAGAGCTGTTGCATACAGATGAGTCGGCAGCCAGTCTGAGCTGACCATAGACATAAAAACCAGCAAGGTCCCAAGTACACTTAGCGGGGTTACCCAAACTCCTGGATCAAGGGTGCAAGGACATCAAGGATCTGGCTGCTTCCTTGGAGACCAAGAAAATGAGTTTTTGTCTCCACATTTGCTCTGCCAATCCACGAGGTAAGGGGAGAAATGTCTCATTGTCTTTTTGCAGAAAAAAAAGTATTTAATTCTTGTGAAAACTTAGCCCTCTTTTCCCCATTTCAAATCTAGACAGACTTGTCCATCCACTCCCAGCGGACAAAAGTTGGTTTTAATTCACGCACAGGGTGCTTTTGATCTGCTGGTTACACACACGGATTACTAGCTGGGAGGTTTATCCTGCCTTCCTGGGTCAATTTCTCAGCCTTGCAGCTGGGAGGAGGTTGCTCTTCGTTTCAGAGTCTCCTCCTGGCTGGGGAGATGTGTGCAGAGCATCTATGGCTGATGGCATTCTTTCATTTGCTACAAGGCATTAGTCCACAGTGGAAACCTCCTCAGACTTTCCCCCTTGGTAACATAGAGGGTGAAGGTGTTGGTGAGGTCTGCATGGAAAGAGCTTATCTGCAGCAGGCAAGTTCGTAAGGCATTTTGCTCAACCCTCAGTGTTTTCACTTCATTTCCTGATGTGGCACTGCATGGAATTTTGCATCACTTTGAGTGAGTTCACTTGGATTTCTCAACATTTGTTGAGCTCCTGAAATATTGCTCTGATGAACGCTCTGCAGTAGTGATGCCAGCTATTTCCCTGTGCTCAGACACACATGTGTCTCCTTCTCCACGCAGCTCGATCTCACAGGTTCTGGAAGCGTTGGCCACAAGCAGTTGGTTGTTTGCAGTTGCCAACCTTAGGGAAGATGGGATTTCCCCCATTTTAGCTGGATATAGAAAAGGGAAGGAAGGATAGTCTTTGTGGTAAGGGGGCTGTGACAAGGGTTCCCCATCAGCTTTGTGTTGGAGGAGCTGCCCTTGCCTGTGAGTCCCTTCCTCCTTTCGCTTGGCTTGTCCTCTGGATGGATGTTTGTAAATGTACACTCTCTAAGTCTACTTCCGCTTCTAAAAGCAATGGGATAGTGGTATCTGGGTAATTACGGGCCATCAGCAAAGGTTCTCTTTTTCTTCTGCATAAGGAAGTGCATGAAATTAGTTTAGGTGCAAGACAGAACTTATAAGGAAGCTGAATATGCGGATTGCCTGTGAAGAATTTGTGCTGTTGGTAGCTTTTGGTGTGCTCTGATTTTAAACATTTTAATATACGATGCTTATAATGGCCAAACATGTTCTGCTCCAGAGGGGCGAGACTCAAAATCTCCCATGCATGTCTCTTTCCTTTTCTTAGTGAGGCATTTGTTGGTGCTTGGTTACAAATCTACCCTAGACCTTTTCACAGCTCAGTGATTTTACCAGGATTCAGCTGTGACTCACACGCTTGGCCTCTGCCTTGCCCTGTGGCTTCCATACATTGAAGACTTCCTAATTCCATCTCATAGCGCTCTCTCTGTAACTGCTTATATGTCCCAGCAGCTGATTCCACACTGAGTTCACATATAACTCCCCTTTGTTCTACAACTTAAGATGCTATTGATGGCTGTTGTTCTTCATTCTTAGCCTTCTCATTAATACTAATATTATACATACAGCTTTTTTCTTCATTTGCCATTCAAAAGGTTATATAAACAAAACTGTAATGTTCTGGACAATATGCCAGGCCCAGGGAAACTACTGAATAACCTGGCAGTTGTTCCCAATTGCCAGCTGTGCTTTGCAGGTGCCCTGGCATGGACAGTCTAGAGGGTATCGTGCAGGAGAGATGCCATGATGATTAGAGACTGGTGCACAGCAATGTAGCTGTGGCATGATCATGAACTGCACAGGGTCATACACTGTACAGAAGGCTTCATGGTAGCATAATGCTAAAATCCCTGAAAAGACAGGATGGCATCTGGTGAGGCAGGAGGAAGAAAATTCCAGAACAAGGAAATGTCATGACAAAAATGCATAGGCATGCAGGACAGCACAGCATATACAGGAAATGTCAGCCTGTGTGGCTGAGGCTGGCAAAGAGGATGAGGGGAGACGGTATATGAGATAAGAGTGGCCACAGACGGTGGCGATGAAGGTCCCCACCTGTGATGCTGTGAGCTGGGCAGTGGGAAGCTGTGCTGAGATCCTCGTTACACTGTGGAAAGATTTCGTTGTCTGCCAAGTGCAAGGGGGGTGGAGTGGGGTTAAGATCATTGCCATGGAACCAGGTGGGAGATCACCAAGAGGAAAAAGTCTCAAGATCCAGCAGCTGATCTGCTGTGGAAGGAGACAGGTAGGATAGCACGGAGCCTGAGATGTGACAATATCCCCAAAGTCTACATGATGGGTGCACTTTGTATGGCAAAGGGCATTTTTTTTTACCTTTAATCTAACCTCAAAGAGATGAAGTTCTGGGCCCTCGGAGTTACAGGAGTGAAGGCTGTGGAGAGGAGGGAAGCCCATCCTCCTTTCTGCACCACTGAAAAGCATATGTTTGGGGAGAAAGTGAGACTTCTGCACAGTGAGACTGTCAGAGACAGTGCCTCCTTCTCCCTGGCTGCTTGGGTGTCAGAGGAGACATTGTCTTAGATCTATAGCCAGCCTGATTTATGAGTCTCTGCTAAATCTCATGGGTACTTCATGGGAGAAAGGGCAAGAAGTATGTTGTTCCTTGTTGTGGTAGCCTAAGGTTAAGATGCTGTCAAGAATAGGAATAGTAATATGATTACTGAGAGCCAGTGGCCCTTTTAACTGTTACTGCGCTCACAGTTGTGCCTACTACCTTGATGACTCTGACAGTGGGCTGTGTCTTTTCAGGGGCTCGTTCCTATGAGTAGCTGCCCTTCTCAGTCCTTTTGGGCATGGAGGTAAGGAGAACCTGGGTTGACGTCTCCTGAGTTTCTTCATCTGGCCTCCTGAGCGTGATGGTGTTGATCAGGTGTGCGAGGCATGGGAATGAGGCTGATGTACCGGGGGCTGCTGTCTCAGGCCCCACATGACCTCAGGGGCTGAGGGGATCAGGGCCTTGAGACATAGGACACCCCTTCAGCATGCCTTATTTGAGAAGCGCTGGGCCAAGTCCAGACCCAGAAGAACATGCAGAGCTGGGATTGAGACTAAAATTCCATCTTCACTTTTGTAAAGCCCAAAGAAAAAGAATATGCATTGTGCTGCTAGAATATACCCCCTCTGAGTGAATTACTAGTGTAGAAATCAGTTTGCCCCACAGCCAACTGTAGGCAATTGGACAGAACAATCAGCTTTAACAGCTTTTGCCTTGGACACTTGTCTTCTCATTGTCCCACATCAGCTGGGCCTTTCAGAGGCAAGAATGATGGCCAGGCTGACTAAGAGTTGAGGGAAAGCACAGAGGGATGGTCTAGCTTCATTCTAGGCCCAGCTGTGCCTTTGCCCGTAAGAGCACTCCCACTCTACAGATTGAAAAAGCAAAGTGCAAGACTGTGATGAAGTAGAACAAAGCCAAGGAGAGAGAGTGGAGCCTCAGCATTCCCAGCCTGCTGTCTCCTAGAACAGATGTGACTCATGATAGTCTCAGCACTTCTCTGAGATGGCACATAAGTGGCTGACTTGACCATGTGTTTTAGAAACCTTCCTGAACAACACAGAACCAGAATAAACAAAGATTTTCATTAAAAAAAGGAATGAAGGAAAAATGAACGTGGAAACATATGTGACACAGAGAAAAGTGAACGGTAAAGAGAAAGGAACCTTAAGGACAAAGGGGTCCTAGGAGTGCTGGCCCTGCGCTCGCTCCAGCTGGGTGGCCCTAAGCCACCCTTGCTTAGGTTGCCGTGGAGGATCTTCAGAGAAACTGCTGTGCACCCTTGCCATTGCCTTGCTGGACTCTTCCAGCAAACAGGAAAAGGGACGATGTCCTGAAACTCCCTGATGCTTTCGGAAGAAGTAGCAGAAAGAATGCAAGGATCATACAGAGGACAGTCAACTTCAAAAGTACCGAGAATCGAAGATGTTCTTCCCCAAGCATTGCTTCTCAAAACCTTTCATAGGGGTTTCAGCTGTCAAATAGGAAACTCTACCCAGTATCATTCTATTAAAAAACAGAGCACCAAGACATTAATTTCAAGCAGGCAGTGAGTTCAGCTCACCCATTTTGTGAAGGGAGAAACCAAGAGCTCATAGGAGGGCAAAGAGATGCTCAAAGGCCCCAGGAAAAATGTTAATCCGAATTCTCCCAGCAGTGTGTTAGACCGATAATATTCTCACCCAAAGAATTTTGTTATTTTCCTGAATCTGTTTCCCCAGGATACCACAGAGCCATCTCAGCTGCACGTCTCTGCCCCATGCTATGTTCTGCAGGCATGGTGCTTGGTAAGTTTGCATTGTAGCCAGATGCACGGACCCACCTACCCTTCTAAGATAAGATTCTTCTGCGTACTCTGAAAAACAAGAGAAGTTTCCACTTAGTTAGAATTTTCCAATGTGCACGCCTCTCCCTCTCCTCCCTTTGCCCAAACAGCCACATTTCTGAGCTCAGGCTCAGGAGTTGTATTCACTGGGGTATAGCAACGTGCCACTTTATCCTCAGGGAATCACAGTTGAAACCAGCAGGTTAATATGGTCATTGCGGAGTTAGAACAACCACAGCTTTCTCAGGTGATTACCCCTAAGGGAAGTCCCATGGTTCACTGCCCTTGATTAAATTCTTGGGAACTTTCTGGATCTCTCCAGATCTGCCATTTGTCCTTGAAGAGCTGGAAAGAGTTTGTCAACTACAAATAACTGTTACCTTCTCACAGGAAAAGTCTGCATGAAATTTGGCCTCTAAGAGTTTGAGTCCATTGAGGAGATATGCACAGAAATGAGTCATTCTAGGCCCATGCTTGGAGGTACAACCATTTTGGGGATTAAGGTATTCTGATGCTATTGGGGGGTTGGACCACTGATGAATTATGCATACACTATAGAGAGCTTGAGTCAGTTTCAGAGATAAGGCACAGGCATGGTCATAGGACCACTTTTGAGGGCTGCTGGGAAGTCCATGTGGAGCTGGCTTGTGTAAAATGTGAAGACAGTCCCTGCCTCACAGAAGTTTTCCATCTCCTAGTGTTATGGCTTGTGCCTAGGTGCTCCCATGCCTCATGTGGTCATAGGGGGGACTTTTCAGAGGTGGCTGGATGTAGAGTGTGTGATGCTGGGATCAAAGTTGTGTGATTTCTAAATTAGTCCACTGATTGGTTTAGCATAGTTCTGGATAGGATTAAGGGTGCCCCACCCTGACTGTGAGTGCTACCTGCCCTAAAGGTGGGCAGCCTGGATAAGATATAAGAGATAGGAAGAGGGCTAGCGTCATCATTAGTCACTTGTGGTTTTCTGCTTGTTACCTTGCTGCCTTTTACCTTCTGCCCGCACTGCTTTGCCACGGACTGTTTATGCTCTGTGATGCCTCCTGTCTCTACAAACTGTGAGCTACAATAAACCTTTCTTCCTTTAACTTTGGATGTTGGGTATTTTATCTCAACATTGAGAAAAATAACTAAGACACAGAGAGAGGACAGGTGTGATGGTAGGCACCAGAGCTACCATGTTGCCCACCAGAAAACTGAGTATATTCTGATTGAGTTGGATTGAAAACCCAGTCTGTTTCTTGTGCAACTCCAGTGGGGTGGGGGGATTAAGGAGAGAAGGTTTATCTTCTCTCTTGACTATTCTATTCCCTCAGCAGGAGAAGAGAAGGGAATTTATGAGAAATCCTAACTCAAAATACCTACTCAGAGCAGGTCCAGAAATCTCTTTAGAGTTTGGGGCTGTCTGTACTCCTTACCTTGCCCAAATCCTTTGGGTGAGAGCATTAAGATTTTCCCACCCATCCAGTACAGGTGCACACAGCCGTTAAGAGACAGACAAGGTGAAATTCACTGGGGACAGAGGGTGCTGAGAAGTAGAGAAAGACATACACAGAAGTTAGATTTTATACACCTTCTTGCTAATGCATGCTTTCCTTTGGCTGAGTGTTTCACAGCTCTGGTGGTATTTGCAGATGTGAATTTCCTCAGGCAACTGGCATCTTAAGGACAGATGCTCCTCTACTTATGATGGGGTTATGTCCTGATCAACATGCCATAAGTTGAAAATGCACTTAATCCACTTAATATCTTAGCAACACTATGCACTGTAGCTTATGGGTTGTTCCCCTGTGACCTTCAGCTGGTTGTCATTGCCTGTGAGAGGTGCTGGGTTCCATTCCTACTACACACACACACACATGCACACACACACACATGCACACGCACACGCACAGATATATGCACACACAGAGAACATCCCCAGACTCCCCTGTAGCTTCCTCTTTGCCCAAGGCCCCAAGGTCACCCCATTGCTCAAAGCTCTTTCCTTCTCCCCACTGGCACATCCCTCTAGTACATGCTCCAGTGCATACTTCTGCATGGTACATGGAACCCCTCTGCGGGTCCCACCCTCCATCTCGCTGACCACAGGCACTGCGTGGGGAGCAGGCCTGCCAGCCCTCACAGCACTTCACTCCAGGAAAAGCTGTAGGCGAAGGTGGTGACTGGAGTTTCTGCTTTTGCTGCTTGCTCATGTGAGTGAGGAGGGCCCAAGGACCCACAGCTAGACCACAGGCAGGCACCTTTCCAAACACATACGTAGTAAGCACACTGTGTCAGGCATTGGTGACTAGAGACCATATGCGCTGTCTTGGTTACTTTTCTCTTGTTGGTGAGACAAAATACCCAATGCCCAAAATTAAGGAAGGAAAGTTTTATTTAGCTTACAGTTTGTGGAGGTTTCAGTCCATACTTGGCTGGCTCTGAGGCAGAGTGGCACATGGCAGAGGGTAAACGTTCATGGCAGCAGGACACAGCAAAAACAAGGGCAAAAGGGAGGAATGGTGGCAAGCAGCCTCTTTTCCTCCCTTACATTGTAAATAGGCTACCTCCACCCAGAGGGCGTGTAGCTCTCACATAATCTCCACGCCCTCCTCTTTTACAGGCTCAGGATGTATCCAAAATAAGCACGCTGGCCTGCTGCTGAGTCACTTAGCCAAACCTCTAGACTCTCCAAGTTGACACAATGTATCAGCCATAACATGTGCAGATCCTTCTCTGGATGAAGAGGAGGCGAAACACCTGAAAGTGAGATGCTAGCTCTGTCTCTGTGCAGATGACATGTCTTGCCCTTGCACTGTGCATAGCATGTTTTTCTTTTCATAGTATATAGGCAGACCCGAGCAACATGGTCCCCATATCTCAGGCAGAGAAATTACGGCACCGGAGCTGTGGCTACACCACAGTCACAGGACTGACTAGAGGACAGCCAGTCATGGCCCTTTCCTCTGTGGCGTGGCTGGGAATTGAAGCCACCCTAGCTCTCACTTTTCTAAGCAGCTCTGGATCGATTTTCCTTCTCTTTTCTCTCTTTGCATCCTGTAGACCCTTTGGGGTCACCCTGCCTCCAGGCCTCTTGATCCAGCTGCTTCAGGACACAAGGACCCTTGCAGTGGCAGAGAGCTAATTGTCCATTACCCTCTTAGTGAGTTTTTTCTTCTCAGGAATTCTTGGGAATCTCTAACTTAGTAATAGCAAAGAGACTTCCTGAGGGTCTTCTATCATCTGGTCACTCAGGTCATTCCTACAATTAAAAACTCACTCATTGCCACAGGCATCTATAGTGTCTCACCCCATGGAGCATACACAGTGGCAGAAACTTATATCAGATAGACAGATAGTTCCATTCTAAATGTTAACACAGATTGGATTGAAGAAAGCTGGAAACCTGCGTTAGTGCCCCAAGTCCTCTCAGTCAAGTTTTTTTCTTATGTTTATCCGAACTCCTTGTTGCAAATCCAGGTCATCTTTGTATAACATGTTACTCATCCACCTGAATTCTCCCGAACTTGTTACTCATCCACCTGAATTCTCTCCAACGCTCCCTCATCTAATCTGTACGATGGCCTGGAGTGGTAGATGCCATTATTAGATATTCAACAAAGATTTGCCCCATCCACCTGCAGTAATTTCATGTCAAGAAAGTATCAACTTTTCAAGCCTAATCCCGCAGAGAAAACTAAGCCCCCATTATGCCTCTGTCACATATGAGAGGTGGCCTAGTTAGAATGGGATATGTCTTTTTGGTACATGTCTGTCTGGCTACAATGAGTGAATCCAATAATGATCAGAAAACTGGGAGGGATCATACCTTTCACAGTGGTTTGAAGATGAGATGAAAAAAGGTGTAGTAAAGTAACTGGAAAATAATGACTGTTCCAGAAAGTTCTCTTGAATCTAGTTTAGTCTGCAGGTACTTTTCCTTATAACCTATGGATAGACCAATAATAAGTGACATTTATGGAACTTATTGTGTCCCAGGCTCTTTTCATAGGCAAACATGCGTTACAACTATTCCACTCAAAGCCGAGTGTGGTGGTGCATGCCTGTAATCCCGGCACTCAGGAGGCTGAGGTAGGAGGATCATTGCGAGTTTGAGACCAGCCTGGACTACAAAGTGAGCTCAAGACCAGCCTGAACTGCATAGCCAGACCCGGTCTCAAAAAAGGCCCCCCCCCCCAAAAAGAATCAAAAAAGGCCCCCCCCCCCAAAAAGAATCCCAAAAACCAAAAAAGCAACTACTACACTTACAAGTACTCCAAATACTACACAGACAACCATTATTACTATTACTCCCAGGGTATAGAGGAAGAAACTAAAGGCCAGAGAAGCTAAGTGACTGGTCCAAACTCATAGACTCACAGAGCAAGAAAGTCAGAATTCAGCCTATCTATGGCCTATTATGTGTCCACTTTGGGTTTACTTATTGGAGGATGCATCAAAATGCTTCCCTTCCCATGTGACTCTTGGGCACAGACCTGAAGTACATTATCTGCAAAACTCTCATGATGGCTAGGCTACCTCCCATGTGTGACTGAAGGCACAGTAGCAGCTGAGTTTACTGTGTAGGATTAGGTTTCAAAAGGTGACACCTTCTTGACATAAAGTTACTGCAGGGGAACGGTGCAAAATCTATCACGTACCAGAAACTAGTTGTCAGTGAAACATGGCAGTGCATAGGTGACTTGTTCAGCGGCTCTTCTCACTGTCTTTCACTTCAGGGGTTGCTGCTGGACCACACACCTTCCTGGGGAGCCAAGGTTTTCTATGGGCCTTTCCGCTTGGTTCACAGTGTATGCTTCATGTTTGTACTTCCAGCTGCTCTCTCTCAACCAAGTTTTCTGCCTCGTCACTGAGAAGCTGCTTGCAACCCATCTTCTCTACACTTCATCCACATTTTCTTCAATTTCTCTAAGCTTTTGCACTGGGTACAGCTGCTTTTGCATTCTTTAAAACTTCTAAATGCTTGATAAATTAACAAATGCTAAAAATATGTCATTTTTCTTGTGCAAACAAATGATCAGAAACACTTTTATTGCATAAGTTTTCAAAGATAATATGGTAAATAAAATGCATACAGTATATGTGCCACTACACACTGTGAAAATGTAAGTTGAGCTTCAAAAAAGGATAGGAAAAATTCCACAGGTGCATCTGACGCTTGAGATAAGCACCATCTCCCAGCTACACGTCAGCCTCAGCACTTTTTCTTTTAAAATTTATTTTATTTTATTTTTGTTTTATTTTATTTTATTTTGGTCTTTTTGAGACAGGGTTTTGCACGCAGCTCAGGCTGGCCATGAACTCACTTTGTAGCACATGCTGGCCTTGAACTCATGGCAATCCTCTTGCCTCAGCCTCCTGAGTGCTGGGATTGCAGGCGTGCGGCACCACACCTGGCTTTTTTTTGTTTTATTTTAAAAAGAGAGGAAAAAAACCCCAATAAAAACAACATGACATTTCAAAACAAGATGATAGGAATTTAACAGTGGTTATTATATTGCATATTGTTATCTTCAAAGTAGTTGCTCAGATTACCAGATACAGACATGTAAAATAGATCAAACAATATAAGCACTGATTGCTTCTTTCAGTGAACTAATAGAAATTAGTAGTACAATTATCTTAGCTATCGTGTGTGTGTGTGTGTGTGTATGTGTGTGTGTGTGTGTGTATGTATCTTTTCCCCCTTCTTTCTTTTTTCTTTTCCCTCATCCCAATGGTTCTTTCCTTTTGAGCAATTTCCTTCCCTTTCACTGTATCTATTGTACCTTTTGGATCTTCAGTTTCTTACACTAGGGATACAATGCGATGTTTATGCATTAAAGTCTAGTTTATTTCACTTATGAGTATGGTCTCTAGTTGCATCCTTTTACCTATAAAAGCCTTGAGTTCATTTTTCTTTATAGCTGAGCCTCAGCATTTTTAATCACTGTGGAGTTTTCACATCACCCTTGTATGTTTGTTTGTTTGTCAGTGGGATGAGCTAAGTAAAGCATGAGTTCAGCTGCAACCTGGAGGACAGCTTTTCTTTGTCACCCAGCCTTCTCTAGTTAGAGAGACCACAGAGGCCCAGTGGGCAGCAGGTGGGTAAAGCTGTGACAGGTCCCTGCACATGGGTACCCTCAGGCCACTGACCTTCACTGACCACCACTTGTTTAAGAAATGGTTGCAGATTTCTACTATGTTTCCAGGTGCTAATAACAAAATGGAGAACTTTCCTGGAGACAGCTTTCTAGTGGCGGAGGGACAGACAATAAGTGAACATATAAAGCAACAGGTGAACAAACAAGATGACATCTGGCAGTGAGAAGCAAGGGAAGATGCTAGGACAGAATAGAACGACCGCTGATACAGGAGGTGCAACCTTGGGTCAGATGCAGAAAAGCTGTCAGAGGAGGTGATGATGGAGCCTAGTCCTGGTCATACCATAGTGCTATGAGTCCCAAGAAGCCAGCTGTAGGAAGGTCCAGGGCAGAGCAGTGTTGAGGAAAAGACAAGACCAGGGCAGGACCAGCACGGCATGTTTGCAGAGCAGAGTCAGTGGAAATCCAATGAGCAAGGACAGGTGAACCCAGATTCCTTGGGGTCTAGAGGTCATGAGAACAAGGGTTAGCTGAGAGAGGCTTAAGCAAAACGGTAGCATGAGCTGATTGGTATGATTCATCCCTGCCGTGGTGGGGTACAAACCATGAAGGGCAGACAGGTAGCAGACAGATCAATCAGCAGGAGATTCTCTAGGCCAACCAAGAAATTATGGTGGGTTTGACAAAGGTGACAACAAAGGAGATGGACAGAAGAGGACAGATGGGAGAGCAGATAGGTCGTGCCTGTGGATAGGGTATAGGGGAAAGAAAAGAATGAAGGTGGAATCAAGGTTTCTCTTGAACGTGTGAGTAGTTGTGCCATTTACAGAGCTGAGAGATACTGAAATGAAAGAAAATACATAAAGTTAGTTGTACTGGGTGCTAAGAAGGAAAAAAGAGTGTACAAAGACAATTTCTTTAGAGTAGGAATTTCAACCTAATACATTTGTGCCCGGATGCGCTACTCCATGTATATCATACGCCCCTCCAACTCCCTTTCCCACTGTTCTTGCTCTGTCTAGCGACTTGAGCATGGAATTGCAACTCTCATCCTCAAGTTGGAGGCCACGGGGTCCACACCTGGCCCAGGCTGTTGGAGAAAGGCCCCTGTTGGTGGCAGGCCCTAGTCAGTAGGTCCTCTGGCTGCTCTGGTCTCGAAGGCAGTCATGCTAACGCCACAGGAAATTCGATCAGTCTGGCACAGTTATATCTTTCTGGCTTAATCTAATCTCTTCATTTTATAGGCAAGCTTTTTTCTCTGATCCTCAGCCTTTTCCTCTCCCTTGTTAATTTGTGCCCAGCAGCCAGACAATCAAAGTCGGTCTGGGCTTTATGTATCAGAAGATGCACATTATAGGTCCCTATAAAGTAGCCCAGAGCCTGCTGCCCTCTCCCAAATGTTTAAGGGAGAGAACCTTCTTGGGGAGCCAGGAAGAATGGAGTGACAGGGAAAAAGAAGACCTCCCAGGACCTGGCAAATCCTAGCAGGACTACACGCCCTTCCCTGCGATTTTTCCACAGCATACGTGACCACTCTGTTGTTTGTCCCTGGGTCTGGCAGGATGCCAGTTGCCTGCTCAAACCTAGCTGGTAGTTAAAATGTTCACCAAATGCCAACTCAACCTCTGGCTGTCCCCAGTCCTAATCTCTTCATTAGGGCTCCTCCACTTTGCTAAACAAGGAAGGAACATAATACTTCAGCTTTCCCTCTGCTAGATCCTCTGTTGGGCATTCCCACGCTAAGTCCTATCTCAGCATTGTGAAACAGATATCCTTATTTCCATTCTCCAGGAAGACAACAATAAGATTCAGAGAAGTAATTTAGCCTGTTAACAATTGGAAGTTTCAGGGTTTGCAATGCGATCTATACCACCTTATCCTAGTCACAACTGTGGGTTGGTGTTGGACCCCAAGTTTGCTTTTTTGCCCTTTGCAAGGATGTCTGTGGTCTCAATGCTGATCACAGCTTGGAACCTATGCCCACGAGGTGCCACGTTGTGTGCTAGCCCAGCTGCCAATCTCTTCACAATCTCTAGAGGCCATCCTTCCATTCTGTCTTCTCAGGGAGCCTTGGCAAGGTAGCACACACCAAAGCTCAAATGATCTTAAGAAACACCCAGCACTGAAAAGGAGTACAGTGACTGCAAGTGTGGAAGAGAGAAAAATCATTCAGGAAGCAGCAGTGTGTGCTGCAGGGTATCCAGTTCAGGTCTGGTGAGAGTAGCCAGGTAGACATGTCAAGCAAAGGAGGGAAGGGGAGGAAGGAAGGAACTTGAAAGGAGCTCCAAAGGGTCTTTATTTCTCCTTGGGTTTCTTAGTGACTTTTCTTTCTTTCTTTTTCTTTTTTTTGTCTTCCAGCCCTAATAGATTACATTGGGAAATTGCCTCTGTGAGTCCCAGGCGGGATGTTCTGTCATGCACCAGTGAGTAGCAGAGCAGGAATTCAAGCCTGACTCCAACTCGTGTTTCAAGGCAAAGACTGGGGAGGAGCCTACACGTGCTCTTCAGGTGACTGGTCTCATTCCTTTCCATAAGAATTAGGGTTTATGATGTGATGAGGTTGGCCTTGAGCACCCACTCCCCCACAAAAAACTCTTATCACCTATTCGTGATACTTAATGTGAGCCAAATGTGTCATCAGGCAGGTCACTATAAATCCAGGTGAGGATGCCTGTACTATATAAAGGCAGACAGCTGACACAGAGGAGTGGTGGTTGGGTATATCCTTGTTTGCCCTTGCTGATGGCTCATGTTCTGGATCTATTTAAGGACATCCAGCCCCACCTCTGAGAATGGAGCCATCCTCTGGGGCTGCAGTGGCTGGTTTTTGGTCACTCTCATGAGAATCCTTAAATTTGGGGTGAACACCAGCTTTCCACCCAGCTGTCACTCAACAAAGCAGCAAGGTCTTCCCTCCAGTCATTTCCTATTTGGTCCGTCCTCTCTTGGGGCTGTGTGGGGTGAGAGGCAGACAGAATAAGATGGGAGAAATATGGGGTAAGGGGTTGCTTTAAATGGCTTGTCTGGGAGGCAGCATGAGTCTCCAGAGAGGCCATTTTCAATGGGAATTTGAATATTCATGCTGCTGACTCTGGGAACTCAGGAGTTATGGACAAGGAAAAAAAAAAATAGAAATACAAGATGCACTGAGAAAAATGGGAGGAAAGAGCTGAATTGAGCTTCCAGGACAGTATAAGAGAGGACAAGCATGTGCATGGCTGGTTGTAGCAACTGCATGTGGGGGAGGTGAAGGCTATGTGAGCTCCTTCCCACTCACTGGCCTTGGGTCTTCTGTGCTGGGGAGAGCTGTAGATCAGTTGCCTTCCCAGGGAGGAGGAGGAGCTGCACCTCAGAAAGCCAATGCAGAACCCTAACTGCATGATTTGTGGTCCCGTGGAGAGCTGGCAGGGCAGAAGGGTAAGAGGGGCCCATGGTTGTGTCTCATGTGCTTGGCTAACTTCTAGCTGGACAGCAGTGAAGGACCAACATGGATCCTGGGAGAGCAGGGCTCCTCTGCAAGAGTGAAGTTGAGCAGAAGAATGCTTTGTGCACTGCAGAGCTCTCATGCAGGAGAAAATAACTTCTGTGCATGCAGTCCCTTGGTAGGGAAGGGAGATGTGGAGTTCAGCTGAAGGCTCAACAAGGTCTCGAGGGAATGGGAAGCTGGGCAGGAATGGGGAGGGTAGCTGTGGAGTCACTGCAATGTGGCAGGCACTTTATCTATGCATTTCTTCCATTACAGCCTTACTGGGATATGATTCCCATATCACAATCTTCCCACTGGGGGTGTACATCGGTGTTCTCTTATGTGTCTTCACGGAGGTATACAACCATCACCATGGTCAACGTTAGAACATTTTCACTACTCCCCAAAGACCCGGGCACCCATTACTAGCCATTACCCTTCTACCTCTTCCCCTAGCCCCTGGGAAGCCACCTAACTTTCTTTCTCTCTCTATTGATGTTTTAAATATCTCATGTAAGTTTTCTATGTTCTCCCACGCTGCAGCATGTCTCATCAGGCACTCGTTCCTTTTCAGGAACAAATACTATTTTATTGTACAGGTACGCCACTTCTTCCTTAGTGATTCATGGGTTGTATCTGCTTTTGGCTGATGATGAACAATGCTGCTAAAAACACTTGTGACAAGATTTTGTGTGGACATGTATATATTTAATTTCCTTAACAACAAAGCCAGGATAGCCACCAATTTATGAAAAATCACAGCTCAAAATGGTCAAGTCATGTTTTGAGACTGAATCTCTTGATTTGGTTGGACTATGATAGAAGGGCAAATAAAAGGGATGTAAAGTGGAATTTCACTTTCCCTTTGCCAGGTCATTATACACACGGCTGGGTAAAGAGAACGCAGGGAAAGCATGAGTGAATTTAGTCAGCGCTCGACCTGCTGTAGCCTCTACCTCTCTCTCTGGCAGTGGGTCTGGGGTCACAGGTCTGAGCTTGCCTGGCCCTGGCACAGCTCTGAGTCCTGGAAAGATGTCTCTTTCCTGTTCTTTGTCCTTGTTTCAGGCATGGACACAAAAATAGATCAAGAACTTCTCAAGTCTTTAGCTGGAGCAGCCATGGGAGGAGGCAGGTGGGAAGTCCCTGTAGCAGTGTCCTTCTGAGAGGGCTTTCTTGGCTGAACTCTGCCTGATGACAAGGCAGAGGTACCAACTGCCTGGAAGGAGGGCCTCAAAGAGAAGAATCCAGAGGGTGCCCAAGGACGGATCTGTGGCATGGAACAAGAGGGTCACCGAGGCTATTGGCTCTGCTTCCTTCTGGCCCCAGGGCTTTCCCAGAAAGCACTTGGACATGGGAGGGTGGATGACGTGCCACCCCATTAATGTAACTGATGGCTTGGCAGAACCCAAGCCAAAACTGGTAATCATTGACCCTCAAAGGCTCCCTGGGGCATTTCAATAGAATCTACAGGAAGGCTGAGTCTCCAGCAAACCTACTGGCCTGCTATTTATCCAAAAGCCTTGCCCTTCTCATCACCTTTCTGGGAAGCATGGTGCAAGTGCAGCCCTGATGCTGCTGTACAGAAGCCCAGTGTTGAAGTGAGCACAGGTTGTGATGGAAATGGATCTGTTCATTCAATGCAAGAGAAATTAGAGCCACAGGTAGTGTGGTGTTAACAGCTGGGTCGCTTCCTACTTCCCAGTGCTGTCTAAATTCTTTCTGTCTGTAAGATACACATGCATGCTGCCATTTTTCAGATGAGAAAACTGATACACTACTAGGTTATGTAGCACCCAGTGTCAGTGGGTGATTGACTTCAGATTCAAACCCTCTTCTAACATCCTGCCCAGTTGTTCACTTGATGGAGAGGTGACAGGGAAACGTCAAATGTAAGCTAGAATGTGGGACTAGAAGGCACTCAGAGCCCCCCTCCCAATCCAAGAAATGGTGTTCCATGCAGCTAGCCCTGCAGATCTCTGAAGCTGGGCTGTGCCAGCATTTATTGCCTATGTATACAGCGACATGGACGCTACTTTCCAACCGTGTATGCTCCAAGCATTAGCTGATTTTCCTCCGCTTTATAAGTTGTCAAGATCAGAACTTCTGTTTTCTTTAGCAAAGTGTGCTTTGCTTGTTGCAGGCTAACAAGCCCAGGCCTCTTGTCCACATGGAATTCATTCATTTCTGGGCTGGAAAGACTGAGCTGATGTAATACCAAACCAAACCACAGAGAACCAGAAAGGTCAGACTAATGACAGGATCCCTGCACACAGAATGCATACAACTTTTTATAAACATTAAAATTCTTTGACTAAACTGCAGTGTCATTTGAGGTGGGTTGCTCTGTGTGTGAAATTTAAGAATAGTGTTATTAGAGATGTGTCCAGTTTCCAGAACAACAATCTCTACCCAAACACAGTACTCTTACAAAGCAAATAAGTGGGAGGGTGATTATTTGATTTGCAAAAGTTATTCTTTGCTTTATAAAATAATCTGCTATAGGATTTCTTTAAATATATAATAGCCCACTTTGTGATGGAATACAACTTACTATTCAAAATTTCTGTTCACAAACCATCCTTAGAGAACAAATATTGATTTCAATATGAGATTATAAATCCAGACATGTACAATGATATTTTCAATGTAATATTGTTTTTTAAATACAGTGGTATTTTAAAACCAAATCAAATTTCTTCACAATGTCAATATTGAGTTTAACCTATTGAATTTGATTTGGTTCACAATCAACTTGGTTTACAGCCAGAATTGTGGAAAAAATTAAGTTTATGAACTGAGGTACCACTATAATGACAAGAATAGAAAGGCTGTGAAACTAGAAAAGCTTCTGGATTGCTGTGTTAATTTAATATTTAATCCTTAATTGATTGGAAGCTAGAATTTACCACTTAGGCTAATGGCCTTCCGCAAAGTTTGAACTGAGAGAAAGGTGGAGCTCTGAAGGTTTCTTTAAAGTCAAGTTTCCCAGAAGCAGAGTTGACCCTTCTTGCCCTTCCTATTTTGGGTAAAAGTTCAGGGCGGACCAGGTACAAAGAGCACTCCTATTGAACTTTTACCCAGGACTCTGTAGGAACCTGTCCTTTCCCTCCAGATGGTAAGCATGCCTGGTTTGTTTTACTAGGTTTCTTTCCTACTGGGCCTCCCTCCAGATCTTGGATCCTGACACACAGCCAGGCAAACTCCCCAACCAACAGCTGAACACCCAATCCAGAAGCTTTTGTTGGCTACATCAAGGTTCACTCATACATGAAGGTTAAAAAATCATCTCTTGTGCCTCTCTAGAGGCAAGTGACTCCATTTCCAAAAGTTCAGTCAGGGTTGTTTATTGACTTCTAAGTAAACAAGCCACGGGATACTTCAGGCTACAAGCAAGTTGGATAAGCATTTGCTTGGGAAGAGCCACTTAGGCAAAGCTCTGTGAGCCAATCTACCCTTTTCAGATTCCACAAACACCAAGTGCCACCTGAGAGAGTGGCATTGAGCTGATATTGTCCTCTCTGTGTCCCCTTTGCAAAATCAGCACTCTGAGTCCTTCCCATCTTTATATATCTAGTTATTTGTTTGACAAATCTTATTGCACCTCTGCTCTCTGCTTGGAGCTGGGCTAGGTGGCCAGAAGAGGAGACAGCTGGGGTCACTGCCTGTAGACCAGCATGAAAGTAACGGTACAATTTAAGATTACTCTTCATACTACCAATGAAAAGGATACGCTTGAATCTTGTAAGGAGCGCCAACCTGCTCTAAATGGGAAAAGGACTAGTCAAGAAATGACTCTTCTTTTGAGAAGGTGGCATTTGAGTTTCTTTTTCAGAAATGACATTTAAGTTGAGGTTAAGAAGTCCATTGGGGGGGGGAGATGGGGGAGAGTAGAGCTCCAGGTATCCCAGCAGAAGAAGCAGCAGGTGAGGCAGGCTCAGAGAGGCTAAGCAACCAGTGTGTGCAGTTGGAATGAGGCAGGGCTGGACCTCTAGTGTGTGTCTTGTCTTTCCTTCAGCATCTGATACCTAGGTGTGACCATGGC